CCTCCCTCCCTATCTCACCAAAAATGTGTGTTCTAGTTTTTCGGTTTCTAATTGTCCATTTTGATGAGAAGGCCATAGGTATTAGGTTGGGCCTCAAACAAGGGACTTCCAGGGTATCTTGCTCAATGTTGTTGATAAACTTTAACAGAATACAGAATAAAGCATGTGACTAAAACTGCTTACTTACCTAGGTAAACCTAGGCAAGTAAGTATAGGTTACTTAGCATAGTAAGCAAGTAGAGCAAAGCATAGCGTAAGTATAACAGGACACCCTTGCCCTGGTAGTGGAAAATGGCATGGCATTTTTAAGGGCAGGGTCTTTGTGACTCCCCTGTGGTCAAGGCAGCTGACAGAGGAATCACATGACCAGAAGGGTGCAGGGCTTTTGTATTATATAAGCCAAGCAGAGGAGGGGGGTGAGACCTGGGAAGCAGAAAGGGGAGGAAGGCTTGCTGTGAGTTGGCTGCTACAGATGACTGGCTGGCAGGGAGCTCTGGGAAAGCAACCTGAGGGCCCAAATTCAGGACCTGGAAGAAGGGTGGTAGGCAGCTGGTGGGTGGGCCAGGTGTTTGTGTTGCTGTCAGGGGTTGTAAATTTTGTATTTGGGTGTTAGCTAGTGATTTGTAGAGGTGATAGAGGGGAGGTAAGGAGGTCCCCAGTTGGCCCCAAAGGGACAGAGGGGCCAGAAGGCTGGAGAGCCCCAGTGCTCTATACCCCAGAAAGGGTGCATTGCAGTTAACCACAGTGGGGTACCTAGGGGTTCCTGAGTGGTAAATTGCAGTTAAACTCAGCAGGGGCATACCAGTATTTTGGGGCCCTGCCAGGGACAGGGACTCTGGATGTAGACTGGGCTTAAGGCAAAGGGGAGTGTAAGCTTTGAAGCCTGGCCTGAGTGGAAGGCAGACAGGGGCCAGGGTCCCAGTGCCTGAGAGCGGCAGAGACAGGGGTGCAACAGAGTCAAACTAGGGCTGGAGCTCAGAAGCTAGATTCAACACAGTGGATTTGAGCTAAGGGACCCAGCAAGAGGAAAGTGGTGGAGGCTAAGTGGGCCGTGGTCCCAGCAAGGGAGACTGATTGGAAAGGCATCATCTGCAAAGCATGGGCATGGTGTAAGGGAAGGTTGGAGCCATGTCATAAGCCTGAGGATAGCGTCCCTTTTATGAAGTTTCCATCAGGAAATCGCAGGTGAGAAAGCAAAGTGAGACCTTGAGACAGGACAGAGAGAGAGCCTAGCAGGGAGGAGGGGGCCTGTAGGGGTCATCACAACAGCCCTCAGGGACCTAACTTGTTACTGTAAGCAAGTGACCAGTAAAGCATTGGTTATAGGGAACTATGAGCAGAAAGCTTGACGTGTTACTCGCATGCCAATGCTCAGTATCCGTTCTTAGCTATAGCATGAGACTACTCTCACATGTAATGCTGGTTATCTTTAAGTACTGCAGCATATAATGCAGGGGCGGGCAATTTTGGTTGGAGGTCCGCTAAGCAAGTTTTGCCAAGCTGTTGAGGGCCGCATAGGTAACCCTGCCCCTTGACAGGTGCCTGCCCCGGTTGCCATCTTGGGACTGAAAGTCCAGCCTCTTACCCTTGCCACCGGAAGTCCCTCCCCTTGCCCCTGGAAGTATTCCTTCAGAGAAGAGGGGTTTTGCTATCTTAGAACTGGGGGAAAAAAACAAATTATGTACTAAAAATCAAATACCCATAATATTATATTTTAATTTAATTAAAAAAATATTTCTGTCCTGATACTTGTGTGTTTGTGCTTTATATGGAGAAGTGATTACATAATAGTTCAAAATTTAGTCATACTCTTGTAGTGTGTGGGGTGTGTAGCGGTGTTGAGGGGGGGTATGGGTGTGGTATTTGTGGGATGTATGATTGTGTCTGGATGAGGGTGTGGCTGTGGGTTTGGCAGGGAGGATGGCCAGGGGGGAGCCAGCCAGGCACTTGCTGCCCCAAGCCTCATGGCCATGTCTGCACTCCAGCAGCTCCTGCTGCCTCCAGGAGGCCAGGGGCTGCCAGGGTAGGGCCTGTCAGGCTTGGAGGGCAGTGTGGGGGGCTCCTGGAGCCACTGGAGTCAGCACGAGTCAGTGAGGACATGGCCCGGGACATGGGAAGCCCAAGGAGGTGGTGCAGAACTTGCATCGCACGCCTGAGGCTTGGGGTAGCAAAGGCTTGGCTGCCCCTCACCCCACAGGCAGCCTGGGGGTTGCCACCACCCCAGGGGAGATGGCCCATCCCCCCCACACCCTGCAGTGGCCTGGTGGCTTGACAGCAGCTTGTCCCCCGGCCCTTGGACAGATAGGGAGGCTGCGCCAGGAGCCAGAGCAGAGCAGTGGCTGTTTTTCTGTTTTAGAAGCTCCTGCAGCTTCCAGGAGGCCAGGGGCCCTGGGGAAGCTCCTGGCTGGCCCTAGGGTCAGTGCGGGGGGCCACCTGAGACCGCTGGTGGCGGCACGTGGCCCAGGACACAGGAAGTCCAGGGATGCGGTGTGTAAGTTGTATCCTGTGCCTGAAGCTTGGGATGGCAACAGCCTGGTTGCCCCCACCCACAGGCATGCCCAGCAGGTGCCGCCAACCTGGGGGGGAAGGCCTGGTCCCCCCTACCCCGCAGGGGCCCAGTGGCCTGGCAGCAGCTAGCACACCCCCCAGCCCCAGGATGGGCGGGAAGCTGCACCAGGAGCCAGAGTGGAGCTGTGGCTGCTTTTTTTCTCTGAAAGCTCCTGCAGTCTCCCCAAGCTTCCCACACCCTGGGCCGGGACCTTGCCAGGTCGTGCCATCCCCAGCAGCCTCAGGAGGTGACCCCCGTGCTGCCCCCAGGGGTGGCCAGGAGCTTCCCCAGGGCCCCCAGGCTCCTTGCGGCCGCAGGAACTTCTGGAGAAGAAAAACAGCCACGGACCCGCTCCTGGTCCTATCGCAGCCTCCCCGCCCATCCTGGGGCCAGGCAGCGAGCTGCCACTGGGCCCCTGCAGGACGGGGGGGCATGGGCCTTCCCCCTAGGGTGGCAGCACCCACTGGAGCCTCCCGTGGGGGGGGCAGCCAGGCCATTGCTGCCCCAAGCCTCAGGCGCAGGATGGAAGTTTCGCGCCATCTCCATGCGCCCCGGGCCATATCCCCGCTGAGTCATGCCACCCCCAGCAGCCCTAGGCGCCCCCCCGTGCTGCCCTCAGGGCCAGACAGGGAGTGCCCCGGGGCCAGTGCCAGTGGGGCCCAGAGCAGGCTGCCCGGAGCCCAGCCAGGCTGCCCCAGCATGGAGAGGGGAGAGCCCCCCCTCTCTGGGCCCCACCAGCACTGGCTCCTGTGCGCCCCCTCACTCCCAGCCCCCTGCCCTAACCCTGTGGCCAGACGGAGACCAGCGTGCACCCCACCCCCCTCTTTCCTGAGCTTCCCGCTCTGGCACCAGCGGAAAGGGCCTCATGGTCCCTCCAGCTGGGAGGGTCGGGCAGGGTGAGCCCTGCTCTTCCAGGGGCCTGCTGTGGCTTCCGCTGGGTCCTAATGCCCCTAGCTCCAATCATTTTTGACTGGAGCCAGAAGCAAATCGATATTCATTTTTAAAAAAATTTCTCGGGGCCCTACGTGCCAGACAGAATGGCCTCGTGGGCTGGATTCGGCCTGTGGGCTGTATCTTGCCCACCCCTGATATAGCAGCTACATTTTTCATTTGAAAAGGAAACTCCTAAATCTCTCTGCGGTTCTTTCTTGAGTGAACCCACTAATTCATAGATTGTTAGGGCCTGGAAGGGATCTTGCAGATCATTGGGTCCAGCCCCCCCACTCTAGGCAGGAAGACAACTGGGGTTAGGTGATCCCAGCGAGGTGACTGTCCAGTCTTCTCTTGAAAACCTCCAGGGTAGGTGACTGCGCCACCTCTGGAGGGAGGTTGCAGTCAGGGTGTCCAGACTGGAACAAAGGAGTTTTTCCTGGTATTAAGCCTGAAGTGGCCTTCCAGGAGTTTGTATGCATTGGTCCTGGTTTTCCATGGGGGTGCCCTAGTGAACGGTTGTTCACCAAGCTCCTGCTGCACTCCTCTGATATAGCAGTAAGCTGCTATCGAGTCACTAATTAACACCCTGTTAAGTTGCACACCTGCATTGGCTTTATTCTCTTGCCCCTCTGCCGTCTCTTTTAACACCTACATTCACAGTATAGCCAAAACCTGTGTTAAAAGAGCATTAATTAAGGTATTTTCTTATTACCAGAATGCTCCTCTGCTTTTAACTCCTTTTTGCTATGTATATTTTTGGTAGAGCTCTCACATACACACTTAAATAGAGCTTTACATCATTTTCTGATGGCTTTCCACTTTCTTGATCCAATACTATTCCTTCCTCTTCCTCAGAATCAATGTGTGTGTGAAGTGAGTGTCAGATAAACCACACAGGATGTAATGTTTTACTTGTTGCTGTTCAGGTGGCTGGTCTTCTTGTGCATGCCCCTTAGCCTGACCCCAGCTTGGCAGACACCTCCCACTGCTGGAAGTTTTCTCTGAGAGGGGGGAGTTTTCATTTCACTTTTCTGGGATTGGAGAAAGCTACAGAAAGTTACTGCTCTTTGTCTGCCTCCCAGCCATTTAGCCAATTGAACAGGAATATTACATCCCACAAGATCCATGAGGAGCAGGGAGACTGTCCTAAACCCCTTGTATTTTCTGTTCCTCAGCCATTTCCACCAGCTTCTGCTGACTCTATTTTCCTTGGTAGAGAGGAACATTGATCCCTATATTCTTACTTCCTTTAGGTCTATCTGAGTTGCATCAGAGTATTTGGTTCTCACAGTGATGTAACTAGGGTGGTTAAGCTTGCTTAAAAGTTGTTTTCCAACTATTTAAGGTGGTCTAATAAAAGATATCAGATTCACCCAAAGAACCTTGTGTAACTAGGGTGGGGCATCCTGTGTGATACCTTGGGGAAAAGAGGCTGTTGCTGCAGTCACATGATCACACCAGCTGTGTGGCAGTAAACATAAGTTCCCTCTGCTGCTGTGTGTAGCAATTGCTCTGAGTGCCCGGTCTTATCATCATGCCTCTGGATTTTTAAGGCATCTGTTGGCTGTAAATATCTATGTTTACTAAAAGTAAGCGTCTACACTTTTCCTTCCTTCGCTTGCTGATATCACGTCTAATTGTATTGTCATTCTGGCAGATGTCCTAAGGTTTTTAGGAATATTGCAACTTCATTTTTTTTCATGTGAGTTGCGTTCTCCTCCCATATTAATATGATATCAAATATTAGGGACCTTGACAAAACAGCTTGGTGGGAAATAATGTTTCTGACATACCGGAACATCTTAATGAGATGACTAGTGTATATCCTGCTTGAAGTCAAAGTTAGACAATATCTATCCTCTCCCACAAGGTTCTTTTAAATTCAGAAGTAGACTGATCCTTATCTGCATGACTTCAAAAGTCATGATTTCGCTCAGTACTTCACTCTATTCTAATTCCATTGTATTGAAGAGTCAAGGGAAAATCCCTTCTCTCCTGGGCTTTTTGTAAACTTATAATAGCTAGAAAAGAAAGATAAATGAAAAAAAACCACTTGTTGACTCAAACAAATTTACTACAGCTGTTTTCCTGTGGAACCTGTTGCTGCTATTATTCCATTACTTTCTAGCTATCAGTCTAAATACAAAATTAGTATTATTTTGCTTCTTGCTAGCCTACCATATTTAAGATACCAGAAACACACCTGATACAATTGATTTTTAATTCTGTACATGTTTCATAACAAATTAAGCTCATGGTGACAGCAGTAGAGTATTACTCCTTGATCAAAGAAAGATATCCAGAGTTACAAGTCCTGGCTTCAGTGTCCACGTCTCAGCTGGCTTGGGATATGAACTTGGATGAGGTAATTTTGTGTTGTAAGCTACCTAACCAATAAAATGGAAGTATGTGCTTAATGTCCCATATAAGTGTTGTGAGAATTTAGGAATACTTGTTTTTTGAAATCACTGGATATAAAGTCCTATGTGAATACAAAATACAATATCCCAATATAAATTGCTGCTTGGTCTTGTAGATTATTGAACAGCATCTGCTTAATGCAGGGTGCTGCACCTTGGGAGAAGGAATCCATAGCATACATACAGGCTGGGGAGTTCCCTTCTTGAAAGCACAGAGGCAGAAAGGGATCTTGGAGTCATTATTGATTCCAAGATGAACATGAGCTGCCAATGCCAGACTGCAGCTAGCAAGGCCAGCCATACCTTGTCATGCATCCAAAGGTGCATCTCAAGCTGGTCCAGAGAGGTGATACTCCCCCTCTGTGCAACATTGGTCAGGCTGCAGTTGAAGTACTGCATCCAGTACTGGGCGCCGCACTTCAAAAGGGATGTGGCCAGCCTGGAGAGGGTTCAGAGGAGGGCCACCCGCTTGGCGAGAGGGCAGCAGGACAGGCCCTACGAGGAGAGACTGAGGGACCTGAACCTGTTCAGCCTCAGCAAAAGGAGGCTGAGGGGGGACCTGGTGGCTGCCTACAAACTCATCAGGGGGGATCAACAGCATTTAGGTAGAGCCCTTTTCTCCCCAGCACCACCTGGGGTGATGAGGAACAATGGTCATAAGCTGATGGAGAATAGGTTTAGGTTAGAGATCAGAAAGCAATATTTGACAGTTAGGGTGGCCAAAATCTGGAACCAACTTCCCAAGGAAGTGGTCCTTTCCCCTACCTTGGGCAAATTCAAGAGGAGGTTGGACAGTCACCTGTCTGGGGTCTTGTGAACCCAGCATTCATTCGTGCCTGTGGCAGGGGGTCAGGCTAGATGATCTGTTCAGGTCCCTCCTGACCCTAGCTACTATGAAACTATAAATTAATACTTTTTCTCAGTTTTAACCCATAAAACACTTCCTTAGGCTACAAAGGTATTTGGAAAATCTGAGTTTGAGATTCTTTCGTTTTATGCTATTTGGGAGTGTGAATTTTGTTTGGTGGGTGGGAAATACCTATCAAGATCTTCAGATAAAACTTGTGACTCTTCAGAAAATTTCAGAACAGCTATTTTAGAGAAAAGGGTGAAGGTTTTGTATCAGGTTGTCCTGAGCTCTAATCCCAGCTGCGTGATGTTGCTAACTTACTTTACATCTCTGCCTTGGTTCTTTCATCTGTAAAACTGTGATAATTAATTGTGTACCTACATACCATGCTGAGGTATTGTGAGAATTAGTCAGATATCTTTTTGGTGCTATGAATAAATACATAAAGTGTTATTTAAATGTAAAATATGACATGTAACAAAATGCAGGTTCATTTGCATGGGGACTCAGCATTTCTTCTTCCTCCTGTAGCATACATCATTCAGTGAGCTTCCCACTGGCTGCCGCCCCCAGTGTACTCCTTCAAAGAGGCCTAAAGATCTGGTGGAACAGAGCATTTGCAGAAGTTAGTGCACACAGAATTACATTCTGCAGGTAAAGTCTGAAGGATTATTTTGTCAGAAATACCCATTGCACCCAGCATCCCCAGAGTTTCCGCCAAGCTGACGCCTTGAAGGAAGCACCAGAAAAAAAAAAAATGGTTCTTAATATTCAGAATTCCCTTTTCCTGATTTGGAATCTAGAGCCCAGGCCAAGCAGTGAGCTGTGCCAAAAGGAAACTTTCAGTGACTGTAACAGGGTATGCACAGGTCTAGTGTTAGATCTTGCCTATGTATCACTTCCTGGCTGGGGGGCTTCTGCTTAGACAAAACCAGGAGCTAATCAAAACTCCCCTGAAGGCCCATTCCACATTGGAGCAATGATTCAAAATACTGGAAGGGTTGCAGTGCATCCACTTTAGATGCATATGGCCTTTCTGGACCAGACATGGTTTCTAAGAGGCTCAACTAGTGAGGGAAAGCCATGGAGACGAATTAATTCCAACACATTTGCAGAAAGAAAGAAGATGAATCAGGACGAATGCTCCATCTGGAACTGAAATTCTGTTCGTGCAGGTGCCTTCTTCCCTTGTCCACAGATGCGGTTTATTCCTTCTGTGCACAGAGTTGCACATGGTTGCCTACAGAGGTTTGAATGGGCCAAAGGGTGGTCACTGGTTAGCAATGCTGTAAACTGTGTCTTAGAATATAAGAACTGCCATTTCCTGCATCAGACGGTAGGTCCGGCTAGTTTAGTAGCCTGTCACAGTGACAGAGTGGTTGCTGTGGAAAAGCATGAAGAGGGCCTGTCCAGAATTTTCTACCCCCTGCTCCTCTTTCACCGCAGCTACCAGCATTCAGAGGGTTAGTACCTACTGATGGACCTTTCCTGCATGAATTTGTCAATGCCCTTTTCAACTGGATTAAGCTATCAGCATCTGCAACATCAGCTTCCTGTTGAGAGATCAGGACAAAACTGTCTTTTCTGACAAATGTTTTACTCTCCACTGTTTTGCACTCTGTTCATGCAACTTCCCCTTAAGCAGGAACAATCAAACGGCATGTGGAATTAGTGAGATTCCTAGATGAAGATGCTTGTGATTACTGAAAATATAGCTATTTATTCTCTTTTGATGGCTCCAAAGTGATGGCATGCAAATTCAATAGAAAAAGAAAGATGTTAGAGGGCTGGAAAATGTCCCAGGTATGTGCAAGGAAAGGCCATTGGGAAAAAGCATAACCAATAGGGGAGGGAGCATAATCCTCAGGGCTGAAGGGCTCATCTATGCTACAAAGCCTCTGCCACTGGAGCTATGTTGGCAGTGAAGATGAAGCGTGTGCCATCAGAAGGGATGTTTCTGCTGCCATAGCTGTACTACCTCCCTAAATAATATAAAGCTGTGCTGACAAGAGTATTCTGCCTGTTAGCATAGCTGTATTCATGCCAGGAGTTTTTCCGGCACAGGTGTGTTGACTAAGGGACAGTGAGCCAACATAGCTAGGCCAGCAAAACATGACATAGACCAGATATATAAGAAAAGCTAGATTTTCTGGCAGGGTTGCGTTTGGCTTTTAGAGTGTTCTAAATCTTTTGTGGGGGGTATGAAGCTATCTCTGGGAAAGGCAGGGGAAGAAGCAATGTAAAGGTGCACAATCTGATTTGGAACAGGATCTATTAAGAGATGAAGCACAGCAATCTACCCAATACTTTGTAGCTTGGAAGCACTACATTTGAAGAAGTTGGCATTGAAGTTTCCCTGTTTGTACACAGAAGAATTTCTATGATTTTTCAGCTGATGGGGAGCTCCAGGGTTAACTTATTGAAAATGTCAATGGTGACAGTAAATGGAGTAAAAATGCTCTGAGAGTTCAGAGTAGCTCCCAGACTGGGATTTTAACCATTTTCAGGTGGCTGGAATCCCCCCTATCCTCAACCACAGACATAGATAATGGGGTGTGCAATCATAGAGGACAGTGGAGAAAACCTGTCTTCCAAAGACAGGCAGAGAAGGCAAGGCAAACAGTTGACTATACTCATCTCCTGTGGCCCTGATCATTTATCATGGACCTGTAAGTAGCTAGAGAGGAACCCTGGCCAGATCCATGGTCCCTTTTAAGTCAGAAGTGCAAATGGGGGATATAACAGTGACTTGAAAAATCAATTGAAGATTCTTATAGTGGACCTTCTAGCTGATATAGATTTGTATTAACTGATATAGGAGGCAGTCTGTGGTGGGGTGAAGCCAGAGGAAGTATATTCTCTCTATGTGGATAGAAAGGTAGAAAGAAAGCTGGCTGGATCATTGGGCCCAATGGGTAGCAATCAATGGCTTGACATCTGGTTGGCAGTCGGTATCAAGTGGAATGTCCCAGGATTCCTGGGGCTGGTTTTGTTCAATATCTTCATGAACGACCTGGAAGATGGGATGGAGTGCACCCTCAGGAAGTTTGTGGATGACACCAAGCTGGGAGGAGTAGTAGATAGGCTGGAGGGTAGGGCAAGGAATCGGAGTGACTTAAGCAAATTGGAGGATTGGGCCAAGAGGAATCTCAGGAGGTTCAACAAGGACAAGTACAAAGTCCTACACTAAGACGGAAGAATCCCATACACCACTACAGGCTTGGGACCAACTGGTTAAGCAACAGCTCTGCAGAAAAGGACCTGGGGGTTTTGGTGGACAAGAAGCTGAATATGAGTCAACAGTGTGTCCTTGTTGCCAAGAAGGCTAATGGCATACTGGGCTGTTTTAGTAGAAGTGTTGCCAGCAGATCGAGGGAAGTAATTCTCCTCTCCTGCACCAGTGAAGCCACATTTGGAGTACTGTGTCCAGTTTGGGGCTCTCCACTACAGAAAGTATGTGAACAAACTGGAGAGAGTCCAGTGGAGGACAATGAAAGTGGTTAGGGGACTGGGACACATGACTTCTGAAGAGAGGCCAAGGAAACTGGGCTTACTTAGTCTGCAGAAGAGAAGACTGAGGAGGGATTTGATTGAAACCACCCTTCAAGTAGTTAAAGGCTGCTAAGTGAATGGAGCTAGACTGTCAGTGGTGGCAGATGACAGAACAAGCAGCAGTGGTTTCAAGTTGCAGCAAGGGAAGTTTAGGTTGGATATTAGGAAAAAAATCTCTCACTAGGAGGGTGGCGAAGCACTGGAATGGGTTACCTAGGGAGGTGGCGGAATCTCCGTTCTTGAAGGTTTTTAAGGCCTGGCAGGACAAAGCCCTGGCTGGAATGATCTAGTTGAGGATGGTCCTGCTTTGAGCAGGGGATTGGACTAGATGACCTCCTGAGGTCCCTTCCAACCCTCATTTTCTATTATTGTGCCAAATCTGGCCAGTAGAGCAGTTCTTGCTATCTACTGCTGGAGGTCAGAGCAACCCTGAGGCCATCCATTGTCTGAGGACAGCTCAAGGGGCCAGAAACGTGGCTGTCTATCTGCAGTCTTCTAATTCCCCTCAAATTGTTTTGAGTGGATCTTGGATGCAGCAAAATCTTTCAGCTTTATTCCCATAAGAGTTTGTCCAAATGTAGAAGGTGTTATAGTCCAAAGAATCTAGCCAGAAAACTAATGCCAGTCTTTCACGGACTGCCTAAAACTTAATTCCTGTTGACAGTTACGAAGACACCAAAACCTGAAAACTGTCAGGGCTGGTTTACCAGCTGTGTGGTGATAGTTGTTTTGTTTTGTTTTTTCTGCAGTTTAACTTTATGTACTTTATCTTTGTGATTGAAGAAGGACAAAAGGAGACGAAACCCAGAAGGCCTGATAGATCTGCGTGCATGGGGAACCTATTCTGCTGGAAACTGGAGAAATACCTTTGAGGTTACTGGATCCTGCAAGTGTAAGCTGGCACGGGTTTTCTCAGTGGCTGACTCTGTCTTTCCAGGATGTCTGAATGTCTGAAACAAAGCGGGGGGCGGAGGGGGGGAAGGTCCATAGGCTTCTGGGGATTAGCCACAGATGTCATCACTGGTAGTGGTATTGTCTAGAAAATACCTACGTACTCTGGAATTGAATAGTTGTAAGTGGAAGGAGGGGGGACTTTGTGAAGCTTCCCTTGCTGAACTTTGCTCTCTCTCTGTCCTAGCCATAGAATTTCCTGCAAGAGGTCACAATTTCAAACAGGATCATTTCCTTTCTACTAGATATACTGGAACTGAAAGACAGTAATCTGAGTATAAATTGGGCTGACATATTATTAAACAGTATCATTTTTTTTTATAGTAGTACCTATTGCCCAATCAAGGTTGGGTTCCCAAGTTGCTAAGTGCTGTACTGTGTACCAGATAGTACCTGTAGCTTACAAAGCTAAAGTGAAGACAGACACTGGTTAGGGAAAGAGAGCAGTGAGCTAACTGAAAGGGAAAATATGGCCTCAAGGTTGCTGTGACCTTCAGCAGTAGATAGCAAGTACCACTAGTTAGGAGAGAATTTAGTGGAAGGACAAATAAAAGGACAAAATGAGAGAGGCTGCAGGGAGAAAGGTCTGAGGGGCTGGCAGGGAGTGTGGCTGAGCTGAAAAGACTATGAGGGCCTGTGTGGGAAAACACCTATCAGCAGTGGGTGGTATCTACTCAAAACTATAGAAAAAGTTATCAGTATCTGCTTGTCCTTGCTTATAATAGTGTTGTCACAATCCTTGCTCAAGCTACTTCTAGAGCAGAGGTTGGCAACATTTTTGGGTAGAGTGCCAAAAACACCCACAACCTCAACTTGTAAGATGTTGGCATGCCAGGGGCGGATAGCAGGGGAACCGCAAGGGATCCAATCCTTGCTGTGGCAGCGCAGCCTTAGCCTCTTACCCGCCATCTGCTCTGAGGCACACGTGCCAAGCAAAATGCCTTCGTGTACCACACGATGGCACCTGGGCCGGGGTTGCCTACCCCTGTTCTAAAGCCTCTCTTCCAGCTTTGGTCTCTGTCTAGTGCCTCCTGTAGTTCCTTTTCCAAAGGCCAACATGTCTGAAGCCACTTAGGGTAGCCATATCTGCAGAAACAGATTCTGCACTTGAGCCAGTGAACTAGGAAACTCGTTGTGGTTGCTTATCATTGCTTGCGTTACAGTGTAGAGATCAAATCTGACTTAGAGAAATTTAGGTCAGATTTTGTAATTCACTGCTGAATATTTTAACGAGAAAACCTTTCCTCAAAAGGAGGAGCATCTGACTAATATGCTGCAAACTGAGACACCACAACAGTGGATCTCCTGAAGGTACGCATTTTGCAGTTTTGCACGTATGTTTTTTTTCTTTAACTCTCTTGGAACATTTCAACAGTAGCTTGTTTGGATATAGACTATGTTTATCTATTTCAGCTCAAGCTTCCAGGGCCGTGAGCTGGGTACCAGACATGGGGTCCATTCATGGGTCTAATCCAGCATGGAGTTGGTGCACAGTGTCAGTCAGTCCATAAATGGGCCCGACTCCTTACACCAGCCTGATTAAGAATGCAGGGTTACATCATCCAACCAGCAGGGCTCTGCATTGGTTGAGAAATTTCGCAGCAGGGGAGCAGCATCTAATGTTGCCACCTCTCCCCCACTGCCAAAGCTTTGGACCTGTAAGCAGACATGAGCTGGATGACATTGCCCTGTGGGCCAGAGGTTGAGTGCCACTGATCTCTTCAGACAAGGCTCTTGGGGTGAATCTGGTATCTTTTATTAGATCAACTTAAATAGCTGGAAAACAATTATTAAGCAGGGTTTTTGAACCCAAAAGCTTTTGTCAGGCTAAGGAAGTATACAGAATACAGACCCAAAGATATTACTGACCTTATACACTTCATCCTCACACACAACAATTTCACTTTTAATAATCAACACTTCCTCCAGATGATGGGAACAGCTATGGGCACCAAAATGGCCCCACGGTATGCCAACCTTTTTATGAGCCACTTGGAAGAAGACTTCCTCAAGAACTGCACCATCAAACTTTTGCTATACTTAAGATATATCGATGACATCTTCATCATTTGGACTGAAAACCTACCATCTCTGAGTTCCATAAGAAATTCAACAATCACCATCCCTCCATCCAACTTTCTCTAGAATACTCCAGCACCAACATCTCCTTTTTAAACACGATCAGTATCCAGAATGATAAAATACAGACCATGTTATACAAGAAACCCACAGACCAACATACATATCTGCACAGAACCAGCAATCACCCTAAACACACCAAAAAAGCTGTGATATACAGCCAAGCCCTCAGATACCACCGAATTTGCACCGAAGAGAGCACCCGGGATTGCCACCTCACCAGTCTCAAAAAGGCTTTCACCCAACAAGGACACTCCTCAAGAGAGATAGAGCGCACGTTTGAAAGAGCCACCCGGATACCACGTGAAGAACTGCTGCAGTACAGAAGAAAAACCCCACAAATTATACACCGCTGGTTATGACCTATCACCCCTCCCTTGAACGTGTACGGAAAATCCTCAAACAGTTGCAACCCATACTAGAAAGAGACCCTATTCTTAAAAAGATCTTCCCAGAACCACCCATCCTTACCTTCAAACAAGCACCAAACCACGCTAACCTCATCACCAGAAGCAAACTTCCTCAAGCCCAGAACACGCCAAAAGGATCCAGACCGTGCCATGACAAGAAATGCAAAATCTGCCAACACATCTCCACCACCCCCACTATTACTACACCCCACAACAGAGCCATCAGCATTCCTGGATCTTACAGCTGCACCTCCAGAAATGTAATATATCTTATCCAGTGTACCAAATGCCCTGATGGAAATTATGTAGGAGAGATCAAACAACAACTGCACACCAGAATGAATGGACACCGGAAATCTAGCAAAGACGGGGATACCCAGTTACCTGTGGGGGCACATTGCTCACAAGAAAACCACTCTCTCTCCAATCTCTCAGTCCTGATCCTCAAAGGAAACTTGCAAAACACTTCCCAGAGACGAGCCTATGAACTGCACTTCATCAACCTCCTGGATACTAAAAGTCATGGACTAAATATAGACATTGGACTTATGACGCATTATAACCTGCCTGACAGCTGACTCCCCAGGTACTTCTCCACTATTCATCCCCCTTCTCTCCCCCACCACAGCCTCTCTCTCACACATTGACTCCTCAATCTACATCTTCACTGGCTACCTGTCTTGTATGCAGACCAGCCCAGCCTCTGGATTCTTTACTTTTCATTCCATCCAGGAAGAGCACACACCAACTACAGAAACTTTCTTAGCCTGACGAAGGGTTTTTGAACCCGAAAGCTTGCTTACTAATGGTTTTCCAACTATTTAAGTTGGTCTAATAAAAGAGATCAGATTCACCCAAAGAACCTTGTCTGCCGATGTCCTTAGACCAACACGGCTACAACCCACACCCCTGTACTGATCTATTCACAAAGTTTTCATGGACAGAACTAAGCTTTCCACATAACTGTGACTTTTTGATGGATTTCACAATTCCCATGCCTATTAATTTTAATATAGTCTGATAGGACCAGATGTATCAGATTGTGGTTTCATTTTTTTTTTGTATCGGAGCAAAACAAAATTTAGAACGGCATATCTGTTATTTTATAACCTCGAGCTCTTTCATTGATTTATATAATGTGTCTTCAGCAAATCATCATCATCATTCTGATTATATATTTGGTTTATAATATGTCTAGGATTCCAAGTATTAGTTCTTGGCTGGGTAATATGCAGAGTTCTGTCCAGGGTTGACACTGAACATGAGACACTGACATCCCTGAGACTTTTGACATGCTTAAAGCTACCTGCATGCTTAGGCATCTGGCTGACATAGGGCTTGAGCCCTGATCAGAAATGTTGGTGGATAAATCTAAGGCAGGTTCATTTGGACTAGAATCCAAAAATATGGCCACTGAGCTGAATTTTATCTAGAGGTATTTGGGCTGAATTTGGCATAGAGAACTTGATGAAAAGGAGAGTCTGGCTCCAATTCTGGGTTCTGGCTCTACTAGGATTACCAAATAAATAATGACTCTTGTGATACTTTGAGATTTCTCATCTTAGCTAAACCAGAAGGTAAAAATCGATCAAAAAGCATATTTAGTTTGATATGAATTCCATAAAATGCGATACAAATTTAAGTAATGTTAACCAGTCAAATGCACTTGTCATGTGCATTGTCTACCTGCTGTTCAATGTCAGTTTGGTTATTATTGGCATTTCCCCTCTGTATTAATAAAACACTTGATACTAATTATGTGACTTAGGTTACCTCCAATTTGCTCTGGGCTTCCAAAGACAGATTCAACCCAGCATCATGGCAATTTTATTTTTGAAAGAGCAAAGGGAACTACACTCTAAGCCTCTCTAAGCACAGAAGAACCGACCTTGGGAGGATTCCTCCAAATTTCTTGAAGATCTGTAGCCAAGAACCAGAATTGGCAGAACTTTCCACCCTGCATCCTGTACTTGCAATATGAAAGGAAGTCTCACCTTCTCTCTCTTGTGTGGGATTCCCTCTTGCAAGGGGAGTCCTCAGTACATAACTGAGATGCATATTACCTTCCCTCCTGTGCCTGCTGAAAAGAGATATTGAGCCTAGCAAGGTCTCTTCCTCACATCTCGTCTGCTGGTGTATAAGAAAAGCTGTCAGCTGTTGAATTATGAATTACATGAATTAATTCTTGCTTACAGCAAAAGTCCTGTAGGCTAATAAACATAAAAACAGGGTTTGTACAGATACCTTAAACTGTTGTGATTTTCATTTGTTTTATTTGGTTGGCTGGTTTTCGCTTTGTTTTGCCTTCTGTGCAGAATCACGGAAACTACTGGATATCACAGATGCCAGCAACTGAAGTCACAGGAAATGCTGTGTAACTAAACCACTTTGACCTCAAAGAGACAAGTGATAGCCACAGCAAAAATCTCATACTTATTGATAAAGCAAGAGTTAGGAAAAGTAAAATTAAAAAGGAAGAGTTGAGTGTTAGAGGAAAATCCATAGAAGTACAGATGAAACTTGCTTTTTTTTTTTTTTTTTTTTAAGCACCAGAATAGTTCTGTACCTATAATACAGTCTTTTGTTGCTTCACAATTTTCATTTAGTGGAAATTGTAAAGCCAATGTACATCTCATGTAGCAGCATCCCCCTGCTTCAGAATAGCAGTGGAGGTGCATTAACTAAAAGTTGTTGAATGAACTCTAGTTCAAGCACCCCTGCCACCATTATGAAGCGCAAGGACACTGATGCATGAGATGCTGCGACACTTTAATTAGAGTGGCTCTTGCAGCTGCTCTAATGGAAAGTGCCACCCCTCCAGTCCCCATAGTTTCATAGTTTCACAGTAGCTAGGGTCAGAAGGGACCTGAACAGATCATCTAGCCTGCCCCCCTGCCATGGGCACGAATGAATGCTGGGTTCACAGAACCCCAGACAGGTGATCGTCCAACCACCTCTTGAATTTGCCCAAGGTAGGGGCGGGGACCACTTCCCTGGGAAGTTGGTTCCAGATTTTGGCCACCCTAACTGTAAAATATTGCCTTCTGATCTCCAACCTAAACCTATTCTCCATCAGCTTATTACCATTGTTCCTCATCACCCCAGGTGGTGCTGGGGAGAAAAGGGATCTACCTATTTGCTGTTGATCTCCCCTGATGAGCTTGTAGGCAGCTACCAGGTCCCCCCTCAGCCTTCTCTTGCTGAGGCTGAACAGGTTCAGGTCCCTCAGTCTCTCCTCGTAGGGCCTGTCGCGCCTCCTCTGACCCCTCTCCGGGCTGGCCGCATCCCTTTTGAAGTGCGGCGCCCAGTACTGGACGCAGTACTCCAACTGCGGCCTGACCAAAGTTGCACGGAGGGGGAGGATCACCTCTCTGGACCGGCTTGAGATGCACCTTTGGATGCATGACAAGGTATGGCTGGCCTTGTTGGCTGTGGTCTGGCATTGGCGGCTCATGTTCATCTTGGAGTCAGTAATGACTCCAAGATCCC